GACCCATCTACTCTCTCTCCCCCTTATCTCAACTCATTCTTTCTGTGGCTCAGCAACCATTTTAATCACCTTTAATTGGCCCCGTGTATCAAACACCCCCATCTTGTCACTGCCGTATTCTGTGGACGACCCTTTCTCAGGCTTTACTGAAAGCTGAGTCCGTGTGTCTGCAGTGAGAGCTGCAGCTGTCCTCCTGACCACAACATGATCATCCTGGGTCTACATCTACTTCTGCTCCATCCCTCCCATCTCCTTCCCAAGGGTGAGCTTCCTGCTCTGGCCCTTGATCTCACCATTCCTGCACTCCAGCACCTTTGCCATCAGTTAACATGTCTTCCCTTTCTTAGGCCCTCAGTCACTTTGGGCTTTTCTCTGCAGCTTGTTCAAGTCTCCGTTTAGCTCATGCTAAAAAAAAAAACCTTTCTTCTTCAAACCTACTTTCCCCTTCAAGCTAGGGTTTTCCCAAGCTTGTCCATTCCGATTCCTGTGAAATCTGGCTTCTGTCTCTCCACTTATCAGAAACCCCTGGTCTTAGGTCACCAAGAGATGGAATCCAGTCATGTCCTGATGTAGCTCCCTGATTGTCGGCCTCTGTGTCCCGTCTGCAGAACTCTCCAGAATCCATGACCATGTGCCCTCTGGCTTGCCTCTCTTCCTCTGCCCGGCACCTCTGTGCTCTTGTCTTCAGTGTATCCCCCAAGGGCCTGGTCTCCACACTGTCTCCCTCACCAAGCCCCAGCTGTCATTGTCACCCCAGCAGGTGGATCCAGGTGGCCCAGCAGCCCTGGCACCTCTCCACACTTGGTCTCACCTTCTCAAAGCCCTGCTCAGCGGCTCTGCTTGGAGGCCATGTGGGACATCAGCCTCGGCCCTGCCTGGTCTCACGCCTCCCACACTAATTCTCCCTCCCTCCACGCTCATTTTCCTTGGCACCTTCTGCATCACGCTGGCCGCCCAGGCTTGACATCGCAGCAGCATCTCCACCCTCTTGCCTTTTGCATCCAAACCACATTCTTGATCTTATCTTGGTGGCAGCTCATCTCGTGTGGGTTTCTGTTCTTGAGTCCTATGACCAGAGTGGAGTGAGACCCGATGCTGCGGAGAGGATGGCTCTGGAGTTAGAATGATCTGGATGCAAGCCTCAGCTCTGTCACTCGCTAACACTGATTTAAAAAAAACAACTTTATCGACATATAATTCCCACACCACACAATTCACCCATTTAAAGTGTAAATTTTTTCCATGGTTTTCAGCATATTCACAGATATGTGCAAGCATCTCCTAGTTGATTTTAGAATATTTTCATCATCTCAGAAAGAAACCCTGTTCCCTGTAGTTATCAACCCCTTATCCCCTCTGTCCCCACCAGCCCTGAGCAGCCACTGTCTATATATCTCCCTATTCTGGACATCTCATATGCATGGAATCACAGAATACGTGGTCTTTTGTGGCTGCTTTCTTTCACTGATCATAATGTTTTCAAGGTTCACCCATGTTGTACCTTGTGTCAGTGCTTCATTCCTTTTCATGGCTGAACAATGTTCCATGGTACAGATATACTACATTTCGTTTATCCATTCTTCAGTTGATGGACATTTGGGTTGTTTCCACCTTTTGGCTATTACAAATAATGCTGCTATGGACATTTGTGTACATGTTTTTGTATAGACACGTTTTCATTTCTCTTGCATATATATATATACCTAGGAATAGAATTCCTGGGTCATATGATAATCTGTGTTTAATTGTTTGAGGAGCTGCCTGTCTTCCCAAAGGGCTGCACTATTGTATATTCCCAGTAGTGCCATATGAGGGTTCTGAGTTCTCCACATCCTCCCCAACACTTGCTATTATTTGACTTTTTGATTCTAGCCATCTTACTGGGTGTGACGTGGTATCACATTGTGGTTTTGATTTGCATTTCTCTGGTGACTAATGATGTCGAGCATCTTTTCCTGTGCTTACTGCCCATTTGCTTATCTTCCTCGGACAAATGTTTGCTGACAGAGACTTGTGACACTGGGACTGAGCTTCCGTCTTTCCATCTGTAAAATGGGACAATCCCTGCTGATGGAATATTCCCATCCCAACAAAGGGGATCTAGAAACACTGTGACTCTGAACTGAGGACACATGCAGCTGAGAGGTGAGTCTCAGAAGCTACTGGAACCGGGGGCAGACAGCCCCCTGTGGCCCGGAGCCGCCTGCCACTTTGCACCTCTCTCCACTTGCACATGCACCCGCTTACCTCCCAGCCTCCTGTGGACGGCCTCTCGCTGCTCTGCAGCCAGCCATGCTGCTATGAAATCTCCAGCGGGTGCAGCGTTCTCACAGCCAAGTTTATTCAGAAAAGCAATTTACCAGATGAACAGTTAGTTATTCAAATGTGTGAGCTGGGAGTGAGGCTTCTGGCTTTTCAACATACGGTTGATGTCCTGGGCTGAAGAGTGTCCCCTGAAAGATATGCTCAAGTCCTAATCCCCAGCATGTGTGAATGTGACCTTATATGGAAATAGGGTCTTTGCAGATGTAACCCATTCAGATGAGATCACACTGGATTAGGATGAGCACTAATCCACTGACCGGTGTCCTTAGAGGAGGAGAGAAGTATGGACAGACACAAACACAGGCAGGATATCCCTGTGACACAGGGGCAGAGACTGGACTCATGCTGCAACAAGCCAAAGAACCCCAAGCATGGCCAGCAGCATCAGGCGCTGACAGAGCAGGGACGGTCACCCCTGGGGGCTCCTGCGGGAGTGAGGCCCACCCAGTCCTTGACTGCAAACTTCCAGTCTCCAGAACTGTGAAGTAAGACATTTCCACGGGCAGCAAAAGGAAACGAATACAGGTGACAATGATGTTAATAATAACACAGAAAGCCCTTGGGGGCAATTCTGTCTGTTCTCTGTCGTGTTTTGCATTTCTGTCCTCTAACATTTATTTACTGAGAACGACTCTCCGCCCTATGATACTAAATGAGTAAGACCCTCACTCCATCCTCAAGTCAGTAAGGGAGACAGACACGTGAATACAAACAGCAGCATCGAGAGGAGACACTAAGGGCTAAGGACCGGCCAGGGCTGGAGGTGCAGACTGGTGGAAACTACCACATCCGGGCTCAGGGCCACAGGCTGCACCCCAGTCCTCACCGGACCAGTGAGGCGCTGGTGGGAAAACCTCGGGGTCCCTCCCAGCTCCGATTTGTGATCTCATTCTGGAACTTGAGGTTTAATAGTTGTGATTATTTTCTCTTAAGGTTTAGAGGAGAACTTTGGATGAAGGTGAACATGTCTTGTTCGTCAAAAGCTGCTCACAGCCCTCCTGGGCTTTCTATTACTAATTCCTTCTTAAGTCTGTCCCCAAAGGGCCTGCCTAGCACAGGGCCAGCTGCTGGGCCCAAGCAGGATGTTTTAATCAACTGTATTAAGACTTTCCATTTTACGACATTTTAAAGTAGATGATTAGACTTGAGGTGCCAGGTGTCTGACAGTTCGACTTTGTGTCTGGAAACAATTTGTGAAAATACCCATCATGTATGCACGCTCCTATTTCTGTTGAAACCATCTGACAGCGCTAGTCAAACGTAAAAGAAACATCTCTGAAATAAAAGAAAAAACAAACCATGAGAAGAAATGCAGGAGCTTTATTATAATCATTATTACTTTTGAAGTTAACAATTGATCAACTCATTCAGAAAAACATTTTGCTTCCAATGAGCTAAAGCCCACAGATACAGGCCAGACGTAGCTAAAAGTACATGAAAAATGCACCTTGGGAAACAGTACGGTGCCCCTGGCTGCAGAACTGGAAAGTATCAAGGATGCATCTGAATTTCCGTAGTGGAGGGGGCGATGGTCTGCATGGGCCTGCCCTAGAGCTGCCTGCTCTGAGCGTCCCTTCCTAGATGCCGGCTCCAGGAGGCGGGCTGGGAGGAAGCTGCTTGCTCAGTGGACCCACGGCAGCACTGCCCACCCAGTCTGCATCGCCAAAAGCCAGTCTCAGTTTATACCAACATCTCAGAGGTTAAGAACATATGACAACCCGGGGCCTTGCGGGTTAGACCCTGGCTTCCGCAAGTCAGTGAGATGGAAACCAAATGTTGCCTTTAGAATGCGAAGCAGCATGGTGTTTCTCCCTTAGGGAAGGGCCAGAGGTGGGTCTGCCTAGGTCTGCATCACTCTTACCAGTGGGCAGACGGGCATCTGATAACGGCATCAGAAAGGCTGGTGGTGGACATGCTGCTCCCAGCACCACCACTGACCTGCAGCTAATGTCACTACAGCAAGCAGGACGGTCGGGGCACGTCCTCTCCAAAAGCATCTGCTCTGGAAGATTTTAACATCTGAGTCCACGAGCCCTCTGGCTCTTCAGAAAAGCAGGCACTTTATAGCGTGAGCCAGCGAGCAGCCTAGGGCGCCTCTGGGCAGGAAGCGTGTGCAGAAAGTGGAGGACAATCTGACGTGCCCGAGTGGACACGGGCCTGACGGGCCCAGGCAAATATGCTCTCGGGCAGAGGAATGCTGGACAGTTTGACTGATTGACAAACAGGTTTTCTTAGCTCAAATGGAATGTGGTGTTTCTACCTTTCCCCAGGGAGACAAAGGGCAGATTTTCATCTGGTCTCTCCACGCATTCAATGCTCTTGCTCTGGTGTTCCTGAATTAGCTATAAGTCTATCCCTCCACCTGGTCAGTGATCACTTCTAGAACTCAAAGGCAGCTCTAGCGGTGATTACTGAAAAAATGCAGGCTGGCCTCAGTTTTCCCGGTGGAGGCTGTCTGGATGGTGAGGCAGGGTGGGACTTGGGACCCACACTGAGAGAGCTCATTCAGGAAGTACTCCCTTCGGGCAAACTACCTACATTCTACTTTTTCAGCAAGATGACTCCTGGAGCAGAAGAGCCGTTTCAGAGATGCAGCTTTCCTTCGGCTCTCCTGGGAGTGCTGGTGTCGCCCTGGACGGCGGTCCCTCGTCACACCAGGAGGGAAATTGAGTGTTACTGTCTGTTTCAAGTCTCCCCTGCTCTGCCTTTTGAACCTGCCACTGTAATTAGCACCCTCACTTCTTACTCCCCCCAGGTGTTAAGATTTTATTGTCCTGTTACTAAAAAGCATGAAATGATTGAGCCTTTCCCCCACCCTAATCTCATCTTCCCACATTTGTGCCCTCTGGGTTTTAAGACCACAGGTAGAGACTTGGGTGATGGCTGAAATGGAACTAAAGCTAAACTTTGAACAACTTCCTTTTACTCAGGGCGTGGCCAGTTCTGCTAATGGCACTTTTGGGGCACAATGATCCTCAAACGACACCAGCCAGGACTCCCAGGAAATAAGGTTTGGGGTCTGATCAGTTTCTAGTTTTAGATATGGAAATTTAAGGCAAAGGAAGGGGTGCTTTGCTTTGTCTTAGACTTCCCAGTGGAGCAGGATTCTGAAGACAAAGCCAGTTCTCTTTACTGGGGAAATACCAAAGGTTGGGGAACCGAGGCACGGCTGGTGAGGATGCTGGGTCCTCGCGGGTCACTTGCGAGGCTGCTGGATGTGCTGGGTTCTCGGGGACGAATGCTTGTCTATGGAGGCGTGGGGCTTCTGGTGAGCCACCTGGGCGGCCGCTGGGGGGAAATCCTTGTCGCCCTGTCAGGAGACACAGAAGGCACTGGCCCATCAACATGGAACAGCTGGGTATGTGCATGAGCAAGGCCCCAACCCAGAGTCCACCAGGGTGCAGGATGGCATGGGGAGCCTGCCAACAGGTAGAAGCCTGTCTCCTGGGGCTGTAGGGGTCCTGAAGCTCTGGGGAGCAGAAGCGAGCACTGAGGCCACGTACTATCCAGAAGGTGAGGATGCTCGCTGTCTCTGCCCCCATGAGATCAGTCACCATACGACTCACTGGGAACTAAGTGTGTTGGTGGCTTTCTTCTGCTAGAACTGTTCTTGTGATCTTTTGAATTGGGGGCAAGACAGAACCTAATCCAGGGTCTTCAGTTCAGATTTGCCACCACGGCTGTGAGGGGGGTCAGGGGCACCAGTCGGGAAGGAAACGCACAGGGCAGGGCTGAAAGCTGTGAGATAGAGTTGGATTCACCCCACTGAGTCTTGGAGAAGGTACCCGGCTGTTTTTCAGGGAGGAACTGCCTTCTTGTGCCAACAGGGCATGTGTGAGGGGGGCTGGGATCCGGCCCCCCTGGGCAGCCTAGAGCCATAGCATGCTCTGGCCGAGCCAACTGGCATGGGGTGACCTTGGACCTGTGTCGGTATTTCATTTTCTCACACGTAGTAGATGTTCCACCCATCTATCCCAGGGTCTCTGGATGGCTGTGGGAGCTGTCCCCAATATGTCATTTTCTTATACATCAAGTGCTAAGGGCTCGAACGTACTGTGAGCCACAGAACTATGGACTAGTGTGCCATCCCCAAAGCGGGAGCTTGCTGGGGGAGGTCTGTAGTTAAAACAAAATGTCGGGTCTCACCAGAAGAGGGGGGTCCCGAAACACAAAGGGTGTGAGATGAGTTTAGTCCAGGGGTTGGCAGATGCTTTCTGTAATAGGCCAGACAGTAAATATTTTAGGCTTTGTGGGTCCTACTCTCGGCCTCAACTGTTTAGCTCTGACACTGTTTCATGAAAGCAGCCACAGATGATACACCCGTAAATGGGCGTGGCTTCATGCCACAAAAACTTTATCTGTGGACTGAAATTTGAATTTCACATCATCTTCACATGTCATGACATACAATTCTTATTTTGATTTTTTCAGCCATTTAAAAGTGTAAAAACATTCTCCGCTCACAGGTCACCCAGAAACACTTGGCCGGTGGGTGGCTGGGCGACCCCTGGCCGAGTCTAAGAGAAGGGGGTCAGGTGAGGCGGGAGGAGAGAAGGCAGCTCCAGCTCTCGCGTGCGTCCCACATTGACATGATTTCATACATGCCTAAGGACAGAAGCACGCTCCATGGACACGGGACAACTCAGAGCCACCAGACCCCAGACTGGATGAACGGGGTTTAACAAAGACAGGAGGAATCGAGAGACCGCGTGCTGAGGCCCGGAGGTGACGGAACGGCTCTTACCCGGGCGATAACACCAGAGATGAACACGGTCGGTTTGGGCGGACTGGAAGACAAGAAGGGAAAAGACTGGTTAACAGAACAACTCACACGAGGGGGATGCGGCAGGCACCGCGAATGTGGACGAGGCTGGTTTCCGGGCGTGTAACAAACTGACCCTGAGGAGGAGGGGGGAAGCGGGAGCACACCTCTTCCTCTGTGTTACTGGGTGCAGGACACTGTGGAGCCCCCTTCTCCTGAGGCGACTTCCGCAAGAGCAAGAGAGGACAACAGACTGTAGCAAACAGCAGGCGAGTTACCGAAATGCACTTTCTTTTTGTTTTCATTTTTGGTTCATCCCCTCACTGCAACTGTGGGCAAGCCCAGTAGTTTTGGTTTCAAGAGGATACGGACATGGGCGTTTCTCTGAAGGAAGAAAGAAGCAGGGTCACACTGGATGAACGCGGAGACTGCAACCAAGGAGCTTCCCCGTCTGCTGGGCTGAGGGCTCCTCCTTCCAGAGTCCCCCCGGAGACCATGGCTTCCAGCAGCTTCTACCGGGGGAGATCCCAGAGCCAATGCAAAGCTCCTGGCCCCTATGGGACCCCGAGTCTTAAAAATGAAAGGCCCTTGTGAAGCTATTGCCCTTGTTTAACATCTTAAATCATACTGAGCTCGCCCACACTGTCACCAACACGGACAGGATGGAATACAGACCAAAGAATTCCATGTTCATTGTTGAAAAGCAGACAAGCCAAAGCACGTTAAAATCACCTGTAATTCTACCACCTGGAGATAAGCACTGTTAACATGTTGGATATCCTTCCAGTCTTTCTTTCTATGGATAGACAGACACATTTGTTGCTAAATTTTTTTTTCTTACAAAAAGAGTCACATTGTTTTGTAATCTTCTTTCTGCACTTAGGATAAGGTGAGCATACTTCCATGTTATTATATGCTTTACTATGCATTTTTTTATTGGCTGCATGCGTCAGTTTAAAACCATCAGAACACAGTTCCAGGTAGTACACAGGGGTGCACACCTCTGAAACGCCTCGACCAGAGGTAAGGAGACCCGGGAGCGACAGGTGAATGCAAGGCCAGCCCGGCGAGGAGAGCTGTCCCGTGTCCATGGAGCAGCAGGGGCAGCTCGAGGAGGTGGACAGTTCTGCTTAAGGCCGATCTCGCCGATAGACAGAGCGGAATCCATCCCTCGAGCCGCCCAGCCCGCCTCGCACCGGCTCTGCTGCTCTGCTCCACTGCTGGGGGACCTTTGAAGGAAACCACGTGTCTTGTCTTGTTTTGCTGCAGGCAAAAGTCCCAGTATTCGCAGTTCACTGTTGACATCCCAAAGAGTTAGCAAGAACACCTGAAATTCCCCTAGGTAATTTCTGTTACTCCATGAGATTAAGATACTGCCAGTCTTGGGGGTCGGCCCGGTGGCGCAAGCGGTTAAGTGCGCGCGCTCCACTGCAGCGGCCAGGGGTTCCCCAGTTCGGATCCCGGGCGCACACTGACGCACTGCTTGGCAGGCCATGCTGTGGTGGCATCCCATATAAAGTGGAGGAGGATGGGCACGGATGTTAGCCCAGGGCCAGTCTTCCTCAGCAAAAAGAGGAGGATTGGCAGATGTTAGCTCAGGGCCAATCTTCCTCACAAAAAAAAAAAAAAAAGATCCTTCCCGTCTTACTAAAGCAGCACAGAAACGACCCCCCATGACTTTGGGTTTACTTAGCTTTTGTTGTGTGGTTAACTAGGTTGGATTTTTTTCCTTTTATTACAAATGTGATTTGGCTACAGGTTCTACAGCCAGCCAGAGATGAGTGAGTTCAGCTCAAGTGTCAGTCCCCTACATAGTATGACTGGATTCGTTTGGAATCCTGTTCCGAGACTGCTCCACACTCATAGGCTCGGCCTCCAGGGTATTCACCACCAAGCGTTTTCCATCCAAAGCATGGGAACCACGTTCTGGATTCTAACATACTATAAATGTTTTGGAAAAGAATATGGAAATGGCAGCACAAAAGTTTCTTAAGTTTTGAATGTTCCCTTAAAATGCAGGAAGCGCCTGAAGTTGAGATGGTTCCATTCTGATAACTAATTATGCAGTATCACCTTCCAATAAGGCATGGCCATCTTCTTGTAGCAAGAGTGCGCCATTACTTCAATCCTCTCCACTTTGTATTGGTTGTGTAACCTAAGCCAAGGCTCTGAAAGGCAGAAATAGAGACAGCTCTCTGCGAGCAAGATCTTGATGAGAAAGTCACCCACAGTGAGTGAATCTATCAGAATAAATATACGATACGGGAGATTAGCTCCCTCACCCCAAAGTGCGCCCCAAAAGATGGCCAAGGAAGCTTGGGCCATTTCATACATGTATATAAATATATATTCTCTCTCTCTATATATGTATATTTGTATGATGTATACATTCATTGTTGAAAAGCAGACAAGCAAAAAAAAGTTAAAATCACTTGTAATTCTATATTACTATGTGTATAAAACACACAAACATACACATTTACACACGGAACTGCACTATCAGAAAATTGCAACTGAATCAGTAGATCACTCTTCTTCCTAACCCCCAGTCTTACAGAGGCATTTACACCCTGACACGTCATTACTTAAGCTGTTGAGTTGTAACGCTGGTTGGATTCCGCTCATAAAGGGAGAGCGTATCAATGACCAGCAGGTTGGCCTCAGAGTAAAGAAATATGCTTCTGATAACAGTTGAGGTGATGGGTGGAGGTGAGCGGGGTGCTGGCTTGCTTTGTGAGCCAGATGTTTAGGGTATGTATGTTCTGTACAAAGTGGCTCTTTAGGTTTGAGGTGGGGGGATTTTTGAAACATTATACCTGGAATTCATAAACCACTTCTGGGTTAGGGGTGAGAAGAGGGAACAGCCGACAAAGTTTCTAAAGCAGTGGCTTCCCAAGGGGATGCATATACCCCAGGTGGACACTTTGCAAACAAATATGGAAATAGTAAATACTAAAAATTATAGAAGTCAGTATTAAAATTTTATATTAACATAAATATTTAAAAAATTAAGTTAATACTAAACAATTAAGAATTAAGAGTTCAAGCATCCCTTTTCAAATCTTTGCTTTTGGTATATGTCTTAAAACGTATTCTGCTTCTTATCAGTGCATACTCATATGACACATTTATTGATGGGCAGCAGCCAAGACACAGCACGTGCAGCTCTAACACCGAGGGGCCCACTGGGGTCTTCAGGGAGCTGCGCAGGGGCTGGGGACGGTGTGGCAAGAAGCCACTGTGGCCAGACCAACCTGTGTCCTGGCCACTGAAGCCTCCATTCCTTCTGCTGGGTGTGGTGTTTGCCCCGTCAAAGGGACTCGGGATAGAAAGGGTGTGAACTTGCCCTTGTGTGCACCCCCAGAGGGCTGAATCTGGCCAGAGGAGCAGGGGCAGTGAGCTGGCTTCAGTCACATAAGACTTTTGGGACAACCAAAGCCATGCACATTCCGTCCAATTAACCTGGGGCAAGGAGGTGGGGGGCCAGATCTCAAAACTTCATCCCGCATCTATGGGTACTGATAAGAAAGAAAGAAAAAGCCCTGCAGATCCAGCACGTTTGAGGGGAGGGTCTTGCTTTTAGATTGCACTTTTTTAAAATAAAACAACATTTAAGAATTGTGCTGCACATGCAGTCTTATCTAGCCTGGAGAGGAGACTCGGGCTGCGTTAGCTCTGGGCAGCTCCAGTTACACAATCCTTCTGAAGACAGAGTGTAAACTCTCCCTTTCCTTCCAGGTTTGCTTTAAAACCCCAGCTAGCTCAGCAAACAACTAATTTTTTTAAAAATGTGTATTTATTGGGGCTGGCCCGGTGGCATAGTGGTTAAGTTCGTGCGCTCCGCTGCGGCGGCCCGGGGTTCGCCGGCCTGGATCCCGGGCGTGGACATAGGCACCGCTCATCAAGCCATGCTGTGGCGGTGTCCCATATAAAGTAGAGGCAGATGGGCATGGATGTTAGCCCAGGGCCAATCTTCCTCAGCAAAAAGAGGAGGATTGGCAACGGATGTTACCTCAGGGCTAATCTTCCTCACACACACACAGAAAATTTTGTTTTATTTACCATTTTAGCAATTGTTAATTGTACAGTTCAGTGGCATTAAGTATATTCATAACATTATGCTACCATCACCACTATCCATTTCCAGAACTTTTTCATCATCCTCAACACAAACTCTGTACCTATGAAACAATAACTCCCCATTCCCTCCTCTCCAGCTCCTGGTAACTGCCGTACATTCTGTCCTATGAATTGAACTACTCTAGGTCCTTCATATAAGTGGAGTCACACAATATTTGTCCTTTTGTGTCTGGCTTATTTCACTCAGCATAATGTTCATCTATGTTGCAGCAGGTATCAGCATTTTCTTCCTTTTTAAGGCTGAATAATATTCCTTGTATGGCTAGACCACATTTTGTTTATTCATTCATCTGCTGATGGACCTTTTGGCTGTTGTGATTAACGATACTATGAACACGGGTGTACAAGTAGCTGTTCGAGTCCCTGCTTTCAATTATTTCACGTACACGCTCAGAAGGAGAACTGCTGGGTCCTATGGTAATTCTGTGTTTAACGTTCTGAGGAACTGCCAAACCATTTTCCCCGGCAGTGTCACCATGGTGCATTCCCACCAACAGTGCACAAGGGTTCCAGTTTTTCCACGTCCTCTCCAACACTTGTTATTTTCTGTTTTTTTTGGTAGTAACCATCCTAATGGGTATGAAGTGGTATCTCATTGTGGTTTCGATTTAGCAACCAATTTTAAGAATCAGCTTCCTTGCAGCAAGGAATAATAAATATCAATGGGAAGTGATCCTTCATTCAAGGTCTTTATAACATAAAATTCCCTCCAAAACGGTCATCTTCTCTTCTCTACAACTGAAAAGGCCGTAATCGACCGTCAGGACATAGGGCAGCACCTGTGAAAAGGCGGCAGAAGCTGGCCTCTGGCCTCCTGTCTAACAGCAGCCTCTGCTTCACGGGGCTCCGACCGTGGCAGAGCGTGTGTGCTGGGCAGGCTGTCCT